AATATAAATAGGATGTTAAAAATGATATGAAATTTTAATAAAATTGAAAAATGCGAATTTTCATCCCTTAAAATTGCCTTCCTTCTCCACCAAAACAAAAAAAAAACCTAAAAATCGCCCCACCCCCTACTGCACCGCCGATGGGAACAGGTGATATTCAAGTTCTGATTTTGAATTAAGTTTAGTAATAACGTCATATTATTAATAAATCCCTGACACCAGTTGAGAAAATCTTCATCACCTCTTCAAATTTAACTAGATGCTATAAAACAATTTATCAAAGCAATAAACCCAGCTAGCGCAGAAATTCAATATACTTAGTAGAAGATTCCAAAAATGTCAGTAGGTAAGGGAGTATGGGAGGAGTGAGCTAAGGGTAGGAGTGAATCGTTGATCCTACAGCTAAAACGGGAAATGAAAAAGACTCAAAATTTTCACCAAGTAGTTAACAAAATTGTTAACACAATCCAATATTTTTACCGCTTCTTGGTGCGGGTGTCTGCGTTTACGTTGTCATTCACTCTTTTCTGTGCTAAAGTAAATTTTTTGTATTTTTTGAAACTTCTTTGACGAGCATACCAGTTGTTTAGAAACATTAGATAGTGGTTCAAAATTTACTAATAAACAATGTAGTTTTTAGAACAAAGTACTTTACATGCATAAACCAGTTGTACCATGGCCTACTATAATTACACGGCCGGATATCTTGCTTTTCTGAGTGAAAAATTAGAAGGGTAACTTTTAGACTTTCTTAAGCGTCTTTTAAAATTGTTTATTTAAATATTCATAATATGATTAATACATGTGCTGTAGTTTATTGTAAAACTGGATATAAAAAGAGAGAGAATCAAATTGATGTCATTCCTGAAAAGCATCCACTTTTTGAATTTCAGGAAAATAATCCTGACTTATTTAAACAATGGGTAGCATTTGTCAATCGAAAGTTATGGAAGCCCAGTTAAGAATTCGGCTATTTGTGCTAAACATTTTGAAGAAAAATATTTAAAAATTGGCAAAAGACTAACATTAGTTTAGGATTTAAATCCCGTTCCAACTATTTATTGCTTAACTGAGAAACCTTTATTTTTAAAGAAACTAGCCAAATGGATTGAGAATTGGCAATTATCTCAAGTTTCAAACTCTCAAAAGTTTATATTAAGTAAATAAACATAAGAAGCGTGAAGGACCACTTTAAGATGCACAGCTTCACTTATTGATGATTTAATTCAAGAAGGGTATTATTATTTTTTAGTATCACGCTTGCAAACTGATCCATTAGAACTAAGATTTTCAAAGTATTGTCAAATGAGTGGTGGCAGATTTTTAATTGGTTTGTGTGAGCTTGAGACATCTGAGTGCATATTAGCTTTGAAAACTTTACTTAAAGAATCAGTCAATATCTGGGAGGAAGATGTTAGAAAAGAGAGTTGTAATATATCTTTACTTAAAATATTTAATGATAAATTGCAAGAAATTTTACCAGATAAGAACGCAGTTTAGATTCAGAGAGCTTTGAAGTTGCTACAGTTATTTCTGGTTATGTTGTTAAAAAGTTTAATAAAAAGATCAAATGTGGTGTTTGCAAAACTTTTCTATTAGCTGAATCTGGTGAGCTGCAATGTCAATATTTAGAAAAACTTTTTTGTGGTGGATTGATTTTACCAGCTATTGATCTTACACATTATTGACAATATTAGATACCCAGTATCTAATATTGTCAAAGTATTTGCAATATTAGATACTGGGTACTTAAATAGGTAATTAAATGATTGTGCTTCTTCATTCTTATGCGATGAACATCAAATTATTGGTGTAAAATTTGTAAATCGTGTTGTTGCAAATATTTATTTTAACAATGAACAGAAACACGTTTTTGATGAAATTCAAAAGAACAGTGTATAGGATTTTAAATGCAGACAAAGAAAAAGATTAAAGCTGAATTAAGTTAAGTATTAACTTAACTAATTGATTATTAAATCAATTAAGCTGAACTGAATTGAAGTAGCTAATGCTAAATTATACAGCTAAACTATTATACTTTTAATGTATACTCTTCCTTTATTGTTAGGTTTTTGTTTATTATTTTATATATCTTGTTAACATTATTGAGATTTTATTATGTGAAATATGTGTGTGTGTGTATATGTATATATATATATATATATATATATATATATATATATATATATATATATATATATATATATATATATATATATATATATATATATATATATATATATATATATATATATATATATATATACACAATATGAGGTTTATCTTTAAATTAATAGTCATTACAAATTTAAATATTTTATTATTAATAAAATTATTACAATTTTATATTGATGAACAAAGTACAATATAATATTTCCTTATTATTAAGTTTTTAGAAACTATTATCATGCAAAGGAAAATGTTTAATTTTTGAGACTTGAATTATATATGTCCAACAAATTTTATATTATATTCACACTTCTGTAAACAAAATTCCGTATAAAGATTTTAATTTTAATTGCGGTAAGTGTGGCCAATCATGCTATGCGATATATTTATGTTTTGAAAAGTTACCCTTCTAATTTTTCGCTGCGAAAAGCAAGATATTCGGCCGTGTAATTATAGTAGGCCATGGTTGTACAGCTTGGGGAGGAATGAGCCATTCCTTCACGGGTAGAAGTGAACCGCGACTCACTAATACTTTACGTTAAAAAAGTTTTAACTTCAGCGTAAAAACATAATTACGCTTGACTTTTATATCTTAGTATATCATTAGAAAACTCGTGTGCAACAAAACATTTATTTTTACCATATGTTATAATGCCTCTAGTCTATTAAAGAACAACTTCGAAAGCAAAAACCTCCAGTAAAGATATGAAAGGTGCATTACATTTAATCGAAAAAGGAAAAAGTAGTAGAGAAACTGCAATAACTTCCAAAATATTGCTACCTCGACCAACTTTTTCTGGAACAAGTAAAAAGCAGCATTGCCATTACAAATTTGAGATTGTGTTTTACTATATATATAGTATTTGCTAAATATTATTTTTAGTTTCAGTATACTATATGCTAATATGCTACTTTCATTACATATATATACTTTTATTATATTTTAATATTTGGAAATTATCATTTGCCATAACAGTTTTTTGTTTTGCTGTCAAAATCAGTTGTTCCTGAAAACAAATTATTTTTCTGGTAGTTTATTTCGTTTATTTTTTATTTATTTCATTAAATGAGTTTAAAATTGTGTTAAATTTATTGTTATTTATGTTACATTATTACTTAATTATGTTATGCTTAATTATAAAGTATTTTTTACTTAATTTTCAATAAATTAGTTAAAGAAAATATCTAATTTTAGTTTTCTGCTAATCAAAGATTATGCCTCACTCCTACCATTTGCTTGGTCCTCTAAGCATAGAAGAGTATTTGACTTAATAATGAAAATCCCGGAAATTTTTTTCTAATAAATCCCACAAAATTATTTTATTAAAAATTGATCGTATTAACAGACAACAAAAACTTTCGTAAACTTTTAAAACGGAATTCAGATTATTTAACTTTTTACAAAAAGGAATTTTTAATATTCGAAAAAGATAATTTGAATGGATTAAAAAGCAAAAAAAAAAAAAAAAAAAAATTGTTACGAAAATTGATCTCGTGAAAATTTTAATTAAGGAAAACGTATTTGTTTAAATTCAAAAGATGTCGCTTTTAAAATTTTATGTAAAAATATAAATTTTTTATCAAATTAATAACAAAAAACATCCGGAAAATTCTGGAAAATTAAAGAAGTTTTAAGTGAACTTCCGGAATTCCCGGAAAAAACTCATCTATGGTCCTAGCTACTGGTTCACTCCTACTCATGCATGGGTAGGAGTGAACCAGTAGCAACACCTGCGTTATTGTTCAAGTTGTTAAAAATCTGAAGATAGTTTGATATTTTATGTATTACTATTAGAAACCTAATACTTTAGGCTACCTTAGGCTCCTTATCTTATACTTTTTCCACTTTTGGTTTCCTTGATATAATCGATTTAAAAAAAAGTGGCTCACTCCTACCCATCCTCCCTTATATGTGTTAGTTTGCAGATAAAGTTATGTTGGCATGCAAGGAGTTGGAAAACAATGCGTCTGCTGTTGAAAAAGAAACATGGGTTGTGTTTAGACATAATCATAGTTTCATAATTTTTTTAAGGCAACAATAAGAGTGATAACTACAAAGAGCTAGCGGATAACTGTACAGTAGGCAATTGATAAAGTACAGTATATGAAATTCACAATGTATATAAGGCTTGTGTTTAGATTTGAAATTTTTTTAAATTTAGATGATGTGGGTGAAGAACACGGGGAATGTTTTCATCGGGATATTCTTACAACGGATAAAAAAGATACTAGGGTAGATGGGATAAAGCTATGGTGGGTGACTATATTTGGTGATTGAGACGCTGATGACAAACTTTATAAAAGTAAACGTTTTACTGGTTTTATTATCAAACAACTAATGCAATAAGAAATAATTTCATATTAAGCTTACTTAAATTGAGAAATAAATAAAAAAGAGAAAAAAAAATTTTTTTTGTTACATTGTGTATTTGAACACTTAAAAACGGTTTCTCGGTAAATGCGTTTCTTATCATTTACTTCAGACTTTTTAAATCATCAACTTTACTTTTTTACGATTTTATCACGTTTGATAACGTTATGCAAATTGTGAACCTTTCAAATCTGCTCCTCCTTATTTTCTATATAGAATGTTGCTATGTAACAAACTTTAAATGAGTAAACACTGTAAAGAAATTATTGTAAAAATTTTATTGCAATACAAGATTATTTTTTATATTATAAATGGTATTCTATATTTTAAACAAAAACTGAACTCATTGCTTTGCTTTGCCGAAAATCTGTTAACTATCAAGAAAAGGAATGGAACCGAAAGCCCTAACAAAGAATAAAAACAATCCAAACGACTTCTTCACAGAGCATAAATATCTAGTGTTTATTTCCTTTTTTTTTTCTTTTTGAGCAATGATTGCGGAGTAATCTTAATGCAATGAAGTAAACCATCAGTGACGATTTTTAAAAACTCCATGTAGCCAATCGCATCATTTACCAATTTATCTTCGTTTTCTAATTTAAGAAAAAATATATAAAGATATACGGATTAAAATTATTTGGTTATTTCAAAAAAAAACAACACCTTTTTAAATTTAATTTTAAAGAAGAATTATAGAAAAATATTTATTTTAGAGTTGCAAAATATAATACTTTAATTAAAATAACTTTTAAACTCTTTAATTAATTCGTATTTTTTTAAAAAAGATCACAATCTTGGTAATGAAATTCTATAGTCCTGGTAATGAAATTTGATTATCACATTAAAACTTTGATAAACTGAGTAAAACGATAAAGTGAAAGTCATAGAGTATAGTAAGTAAACAAAGGTAACCCTTGTAAGCTTACTAAACCCCATTATTTGGAACCTTGTTGTCTTCTATTGTAAGTATATGCAGACTAAATATACTCGATAATCTTAAACTTTATATATAAAATATCTAGAATCAAATTTTAATCTCTAAAACTAATTAGGATGTAAATATGTCAGCTCTCAATATAGAGATATTAAGCGATATTAGGATGTAAATATGTCAGCTCTCAATATAGAGATATTAAGCGATATTAGGATGTAAATATGTTAGCTCTCAATATAGAGATATTAAGCGATATTAGGATGTAAATATGCCAGCTCTCAATATAGAGATATTAAGCGATATTAGGATGTAAATATGTCAGCTCTCAATATAGAGATATTAAGCGATATTAGGATGTAAATATGTCAGCTCTCAATATAGAGATATTAAGCGGTATTAGGATGTAAATATGTCAGCTCTCAATATAGAGATATTAAGCGATATTAGGATGTAAATATGTCAGCTCTCAATATAGAGATATTAAGCGATATTAGGATGTAAATATGTCAGCTCTCAATATAGAGATATTAAGCGATATTAGGATGTAAATATGTCAGCTCTCAATATAGAGATATTAAGCGATATTAGGATGTAAATATGTCAGCTCTCAATATAGAGATATTAAGCGATATTAGGATGTAAATATGTCAGCTCTCAATATAGAGATATTAAGCGATATTAGGATGTAAATATGTCAGCTCTCAATATAGAGATATTAAGCGATATTAGGATGTAAATATGTCAGCTCTCAATATAGAGATATTAAGCGATATTAGGATGTAAATATGTCAGCTCTCAATATAGAGATATTAAGCGATATTAGGATGTAAATATGTCAGCTCTCAATATAGAGATATTAAGCGATATTAGGATGTAAATATGTCAGCTCTCAATATAGAGATATTAAGCGATATTAGGATGTAAATATGTCAGCTCTCAATATAGAGATATTAAGCGATATTAGGATGTAAATATGTCAGCTCTCAATATAGAGATATTAAGCGATATTAGGATGTAAATATGTCAGCTCTCAATATAGAGATATTAAGCGATATTAGGATGTAAATATGTCAGCTCTCAATATAGAGATATTAAGCGATATTAGGATGTAAATATGTCAGCTCTCAATATAGAGATATTAAGCGATATTAGGATGTAAATATGTCAGCTCTCAATATAGAGATATTAAGCGATATTAGGATGTAAATATGTCAGCTCTCAATATAGAGATATTAAGCGATATTAGGATGTAAATATGTCAGCTCTCAATATAGAGATATTAAGCGATATTAGGATGTAAATATGTCAGCTCTCAATATAGAGATATTAAGCGATATTAGGATGTAAATGTCAGCTCTCAATATAGAGATATTAAGCGATATTAGGATGTAAATATGTCAGCTCTCAATATAGAGATATTAAGCGATATTAGGATGTAAATATGTCAGCTCTCAATATAGAGATATTAAGCGATATTAGGATGTAAATGTCAGCTCTCAATATAGAGATATTAAGCGATATTAGGATGTAAATATGTCAGCTCTCAATATAGAGATATTAAGCGATATTAGGATGTAAATATGTCAGCTCTCAATATAGAGATATTAAGCGATATTAGGATGTAAATGTCAGCTCTCAATATAGAGATATTAAGCGATATTAGGATGTAAATATGTCAGCTCTCAATATAGAGATATTAGGCGATATTAGGATGTAAATATGTCAGCTCTCAATATAGAGATATTAAGCGATATTAGGATGTAAATATGTCAGCTCTCAATATAGAGATATTAAGCGATATTAGGATGTAAATATGTCAGCTCTCAATATAGAGATATTAAGCGATATTAGGATGTAAATATGTCAGCTCTCAATATAGAGATATTAAGCGATATTAGGATGTAAATATGTCAGCTCTCAATATAGAGATATTAAGCGATATTAGGATGTAAATGTCAGCTCTCAATATAGAGATATTAAGCGATATTAGGATGTAAATATGTCAGCTCTCAATATAGAGATATTAAGCGATATTAGGATGTAAATATGTCAGCTCTCAATATAGAATTATTAAGCGATATTAGGATGTAAATATGTCAGCTCAGTTCTTATGTCAGGTCAGGAGTATGGTCTTCATGATCATCCTGCTACTGGTAACATGTAACCCAGTGCAACCTGTTCCATGTTCTGCTGCCTTGCAGGATTTGCTATCTAAGTAAAGGCTGGAAGGAGTGTTCTTCCTGTCATCAGTACTATCTTATACCAGTCATGTCTATAGTAATTTTTTTTTTTTTTTTTTTTTTTTTCCCATATAGTTGAAGGTGCCTTAGTTACTGTATTAGCTCACCTGTAATGCTCACCTGTAATCTACGTTATATGTATGTTTGTGTTCTGTCTGAACCTCTGGCGCGGTGTTCGCTCACCCGTAAGTTACTTTATGTTCTTTATGTATGTCTGTGTTCTGTCTGAACCTCTGGCGCGGTGTTCGCTCACCCGTAAGTTACTTTATGTTTATGTTTTTTATGTTTTTTTATGTATGTTTGTGTTCTGTCTGAACCTCTGGCGCGGTGTTCGCTCACCCGTAAGTTACTTTATGTTTATGTTTATGTTTTTTATGTTTTTTTTATGTATGTTTGTGTTCTGTCTGAACCTCTGGCGCGGTGTTCGCTCACCCGTAAGTTACTTTATGTTCTTTATGTATGTCTGTGTTCTGTCTGAACCTCTGGCGCGGTGTTCGCTCACCCGTAAGTTACTTTATGTTTATGTTTTTTATGTTTTTTATGTATGTTTGTGTTCTGTCTGAACCTCTGGCGCGGTGTTGACTCACCCGTAAGTTGATTTATGTTTGTTTGTGTTCTGTTTATACTCTAATGCAGCGTGAGCTCAGTAACTAACTACTTACTCCAACTACAAAACGTACACTCACCTTAGACTCCTGTATTTTGTTAGATGCAGTGTTTTTCCTAATGCATTTCCAAAATGTCATGCCTGGTTTTCTCAAAGTACTGTTGCGGGAAGTAGCTCCTTTTAACTACTCCAGGTCAGGTCAGGATAATCGAGATCAATCTTGCTACTGGTATCACGTAACCCAGTACCACCTGCCACAAGCCCTGCTGCCTTGCAGAGTGTGCTCTTCTTATGCAAAGGCTAGGAGAAATAAACTCCGACTAAAAATTCCCCTGCCTTGGGGCTCTTGGTTGAGTAAAGGCTAGAGATGGTGTCTCGATAAAAATACTCATCTTGGGCAGATGTTAACTGCATCCTGCTACTGTCTTGTAGAAGGCCTCCTAGGCAAAGACTTTAGGGGTAAGCAGAAAAATTCTGCTAACCAGCCTCGAACCCCTTCTTCATCTATTAGGCTGGCGTAGATGTAACCTGTGTTACATTGTTTCCTGCCTAGGATGATGAATGCTGGATCTCCTTGACTCTACTCATAGAATTTTGCTTATGCCTCCTTGATAATGGCTATGCAACTCTTCCTGTTATCTCCATATGAGGGTACAGCTCTAAAACTCAGTTTAATGGTTCTGAGGCCGGCTGGTAGTAAGGTTTCCCGAACTCTGTGGTAGCTCTCAGAGAGGCTGATTCCATCAACAGCTGCAAAATATCAGAGTATTAACAGTGCCATGTTGCGCATGGATGGTGTCCCTGTTAATGCTTTTGGTGTGCATTGCCAAGGCCACATAAGGAGCCCTATGTCACGGCTTAGGGTTAATTAACAGGACTGAAACAACTGCATAGCTCATTGATTAGGAGGCTGTGCTCTATCTATGAATGAGTCAGGTTCTCATTAAACCCAAATCATGACCAAAGTAACCAAAAATTTAAAACCTAAAAAACCATCCCCACCACCTAAATATTTTAATATATCTTTTACAAATATTCGCGGTCTACGAAGCAACTTTCCATCAGTTGAGTCTTACCTCCTGCAAAATTCACCAGACTTGCTTGCACTCAGTGAAACAAATTTAAGTTCTGCAATTCCTTCTTCGGATGTCGGTGTTGATGGGTACTATCCTTTGATTCGTAAAGACTCCAATAGTCACATGCTAGGTTTAGGGGTATACATACGCATTAATTCCCCTATTTGTCGTGAAATCAGGTTCGAATCCTTTGACCATTCTTTTATGTGCTTTCGCCTAGCACCTCTTCACTCTATCACCTTTCTCTTTGTTCTTTATCGTTCTCCTTCTTCCCATGATTGCACTCTTTTAGATGTTATCTCTGATCAAATTGACCATGCCCTCTCTCTTTACCCCTCTGCCAATATTGTTGTTGTTGGTGATTTTAATGCCCATCACACTGAATGGCTTGGCTCTAACACCACTGATCCTGCTGGCACTAAAGCCTTTAACTTCTGCGTTTCTCAATCTCTTACTCAGATAGTTAACTTTGTGACTCGTTTTCCTGACAACCCTAATCATTTACCTTCACTCCTTGACTTATGTCTTGTCTCTGACCCTAGCTTATGTTCAGTTTCTCCCTTTTCTCCCTTAGGTGGTTCTGACCATGCAATGATCTCTATAAACCTTTCTTCTCGTACTTCTTTTTTGGGCTCACCTTATCATCGCACCACCTACTACTACCCTAAAGCTGATTGGGATTCCTTTCGTGATTTTCTTCGTGATGGTCCTTGGGCTGATGTTTTTTCTCTCTCAGCTGACAAATGCGCCTCCTACGTAACCTCCTGGATTCAGGCTGGAATGGAAGCTTTTATTCCTTCTCGTAGGTTTCAAGTCAAGCCTCACTCTACTCCATGGTTTTCTCCTTCTTGTGCGGCTGCTATATCCAATCGTAACCATTTTTTTCATCTTTTTCAAAAGAACAACTCTTTTGAGAACAAACGGCTATTTATTATTGTAAGAAATCGATGTAAAAAGGTGCTTTCTGATGCTAAACTCCATTATTCTCAGTTCACTAAATCTCGCATCTTATCGCAGAAGTTAGGCTCTAAAGACTTTTGGAAAATCTTCAACAGCATTGTTAACAAGGGTAGATCTAACATTCCATCTCTCATTCATGTGACTGATCTTGTTACCTCTCCCAGGGATAAGGCAGAACTGTTTGCAAAGAACTTTTCTTCTAATTCCACTCTTGAATCTTATGGACATTCTCTTCCTTCCATTCCAGTCAAACAGGTTAACCCATTGTTAGACATTCAAATCACTCCGGCTTCTGTTGCTAAAGTCATATCTCAATTAAACTCGTCTACAGCTTGTGGTCCAGACAACATTCCTGTCACAGTCTTGCAGAATTGTTCTCCAGAACTTTCTTCAATTCTCTCTAAACTATTTAACAAGTGTTTGACTGAGTCTTGTTTTCCTGCTTGTTGGAAAATGGCATCTGTGGTTCCAATATTCAAAAACTCTGGAGAAAATTCTGACCTCTCCAATTATCGTCCGATCAGTCTTCTTTCTGTTATTAGCAAGGTCTTTGAGTCTTTGATCAACAAATTCCTCACATCTCATCTTGAGTCAAATAAACTGTCAGACAATCAATACGGTTTTCGATCCTCTCGCTCTACGGCCGACTTGCTAACTGCTGTAACTGAAAGATTTTATCGTGCATTAGATGGAGGCGGTGAGGCTAGGGCTATTGCTCTCGACATATCTAAAGCTTTCGACAAAGTTTGGCATGCTGGTCTTCTCCATAAGCTTGCTTCATATGGTGTTTCTGGGAAAGTTTTTGAGATTATCAAATCATTTCTTTCTAACCGGTTTATTAAAGTCATCCTTGAAGGCCAACACTCTTCTTTATCTCCAGTAACATCTGGGGTTCCCCAAGGTTCCATCCTGGGCCCTGTTTTGTTTCTTATCTACATAAACGATCTTCCTGACAACCTTTCATCTAAAGTAGCTCTTTTTGCTGATGACTCAACTTTATACTCCTGTCTTGACAAAAAGTCTTCCCTTTTCGATCGCCTAGAACAAGCAGCTGATCTTGAATCTGATCTCACTTCGGTGGTAGATTGGGGTTCACAGTGGCTTGTGAGTTTCAACTCTAAAAAAACCCAATTGCTTACTGCAAACAACTACCGTAATATGGTCAACATTCCTATATTAATGAATGGCAATCCTCTTACTGAGTCCTCCTCTTTACGTTTTCTTGGATTATCGCTTACTACTGACCTTTCATGGAAACCATATATACAATCGATTGCTAAATTAGCTTCTGCTAAGGTTGCTTCTCTTTATCGTGCTCGCCATTTCCTTACTTCTGATTCCATTCTCTACCTCTACAAATCTCTTATTCGTCCCTGTATGGAAAACTGTTGTCATATTTGGGCTGGTTCTTCTAACGATTCACTTTCTCTTCTTGACAAGGTCCAAAAACGCATTGTAAATGTTGTTGGACCTGGACTATCTGCTAAGCTTGAACCTCTTTCCCATCGTCGTAAAGTTGCATCTCTTTCTCTTTTCTACAGATACTATCACGGTCACTGCTCAAAGGAGTTATCATCTCTAGTTCCATCAACTAAAATTCATTCTCGTTTTACTCGTCATTCAGCTAAGTCTCATTCGTTTACTGTATCTGTCCCTGCATGCTCTAAAAACTTTTATTCATCTAGTTTTTTTCCCCGCACTTCAATCCTTTGAAACTCTCTCCCATCTTCATGTTTTCCTGACTCATACAACCTTCAACTTTTCAAGTCTTCTGTCAACCGTTTCTTGCTCTATAACTCTGTTCTTTTTTTTTTCCTAGTAACTCCCAACTTAATAGTGGTTGCTTGCAGCCTTGTTGGGAGTGAATGCAAATAAAAAAAAATAAAAAAATATAGAGATATTAAGCGATATTAGGATGTAAATGTCAGTTCTCAATATAGAGATATTAAGCGATATTAGGATGTAAATGTCAGCTCTCAATATAGAGATATTAAGCGATATTAGGATGTAAATATGTCAGCTCTCAATATAGAGATATTAAGCGATATTAGGATGTAAATATGTCAGCTCTCAATATAGAGATATTAAGCGATATTAGGATGTAAATATGTCAGCTCTCAATATAGAGATATTAAGCGATATTAGGATGTAAATGTCAGCTCTCAATATAGAGATATTAAGCAATATTAGGATGTAAATATGTCAGCTCTCAATATAGAGATATTAAGCGATATTAGGATGTAAATATGTCAGCTCTCAATATAGAGATATTAAGCGATATTAGGATGTAAATATGTCAGCTCTCAATATAGAGATATTAAGCGATATTAGGATGTAAATATGTCAGCTCTCAATATAGAGATATTAAGCGATATTAGGATGTAAATATGTCAGCTCTCAATATAAAGATATTAAGCGATATTAGGATGTAAATGTCAGCTCTCAATATAGAGATATTAAGCAATATTAGGATGTAAATATGTCAGCTCTCAATATAGAGATATTAAGCGATATTAGGATGTAAATGTCAGCTCTCAATATAGAGATATTAAGCAATATTAGGATGTAAATATGTCAGCTCTCAATATAGAGATATTAAGCGATATTAGGATGTAAATATGTCAGCTCTCAATATAGAGATATTAAGCGATATTAGGATGTAAATATGTCAGCTCTCAATATAGAGATATTAAGCGATATTAGGATGTAAATATGTCAGCTCTCAATATAGAGATATTAAGCGATATTAGGATGTAAATGTCAGCTCTCAATATAGAGATATTAAGCAATATTAGGATGTAAATATGTCAGCTCTCAATATAGAGATATTAAGCGATATTAGGATGTAAATATGTCAGCTCTCAATATAGAGATATTAAGCGATATTAGGATGTAAATATGTCAGCTCTCAATATAGAGATATTAAGCGATATTAGGATGTAAATGTCAGCTCTCAATATAGAGATATTAAGCAATATTAGGATGTAAATATGTCAGCTCTCAATATAGAGATATTAAGCGATATTAGGATGTAAATATGTCAGCTCTCAATATAGAGATATTAAGCGATATTAGGATGTAAATATGTCAGCTCTCAATATAGAGATATTAAGCGATATTAGGATGTAAATATGTCAGCTCTCAATATAGAGATATTAAGCGATATTAGGATGTAAATATGTCAGCTCTCAATATAAAGATATTAAGCGATATTAGGATGTAAATGTCAGCTCTCAATATAGAGATATTAAGCAATATTAGGATGTAAATATGTCAGCTCTCAATATAGAGATATTAAGCGATATTAGGATGTAAATGTCAGCTCTCAATATAGAGATATTAAGCAATATTAGGATGTAAATATGTCAGCTCTCAATATAGAGATATTAAGCGATATTAGGATGTAAATATGTCAGCTCTCAATATAGAGATATTAAGCGATATTAGGATGTAAATATGTCAGCTCTCAATATAGAGATATTAAGCGATATTAGGATGTAAATATGTCAGCTCTCAATATAGAGATATTAAGCGATATTAGGATGTAAATATGTCAGCTCTCAATATAGAGATATTAAGCGATATTAGGATGTAAATGTCAGCTCTCAATATAGAGATATTAAGCAATATTAGGATGTAAATATGTCAGCTCTCAATATAGAGATATTAAGCGATATTAGAATGTAAATATGTCAGCTCTCAATATAGAGATATTAAGCGATATTAGGATGTAAATGTCAGCTCTCAATATAGAGATATTAAGCAATATTAGGATGTAAACATGTTAGCTCTCAATATAGAGATATTAAGCGATATTAGGATGTAAATATGTCAGCTCTCAATATAGAGATATTAAGCGATATTAGGATGTAAATATGTCAGCTCTCAATATAGAGATATTAAGCGATATTAGGATGTAAATATGTCAGCTCTCAATATAGAGATATTAAGCGATATATGTCAGTTCTCAATATAGAGATATTAAGCAATATTAAGATGTAAATATGTCAGCTCTCAATATAGAGATATTAAGCGATATTAGGATGTAAATATGTCAGCTCTCAATATAGAGATATTAAGCGATATTAGGATGTAAATATGTCAGCTCTCAATTTAGAGATATTAAGCGATATTAGGATGTAAATATGTCAGCTCTCAATATAGAGATATTAAGCGATATTGGCAATTAACGGTCTAAATCTTTCCTAAATTTTATAAGTTTGATATTATTATATATATAATTTACCAAATATTATTTTATATATAATTTACCAAATAAAATGAACGTCACATATAAGCCAAAAAAATTTAGTAAAACATTGAAAACAATTTTATTCAACCTATCATTGGATATAAAGTAAAAAAACTTTAAGATAGATAGATAAGGCATGTGTTTAACATTTGTAAAAATAACTAACCTACCGTAAGATATAAGAAATTTATATGCAGAGTGAGCTCGTTTCCCACAAAAGATCAGACTCAACTTTGGTGAAGTAAGTGGAAACGACAGCAAACAATTAATTATCATCAAATAAAAAACAACAGATTGCCATTCACAAAATCTATGACCAACAGCAACATCAAAATCTTTAAAATTTAAATTAAACCAAGTGTGACTATTCTCAACTTTTAGACTAAGATAGGTTATAACAAGAGCCTTGATATGCTCAATACTAACTGGACAGTTATACTCGTTAGCCTTGATTATCCAAAATCTTAATGAAATGATCATAATTGTGTTTTCCGCTTCACTTTCGTTAAAATAAAATTTTCCAAGTTGACACATATATGATTTCTGATCAGACGTGTTAGTCTTTTCATTAACTGTTTGATCAACGACTTTTAGTTTTTCTTTATAATTTAAGCCAGCTCTTTGAAACTCTTTTACATTGTCTGTGATTGAGCATAGATGATATATTATGTCAACTAAATCACGTGAAATACAAGTGGCAGCTTTTGCCGAAACATTCTCACTTTGAATGTGATAAAACTGTACATGGTCAAAGTAAATGTTTAAAACACAAGAGTGAACTTTTCCATGACTGCACATAACTTTTAAATAATCTCCCATTGAATTGTAACTTTTTAATTGACATTCAGGGTTACTATTTTGCTTTAACAAAATTGGTAACAAAGAGCTTGCCTGTAGTTTGTAGTAACTTAAATCATAATTATCCAATATCATTATAAGGTGTTCCTTTATATCTGCAGTCATTTCACCTACATCTTGAACTAAACTTCTAATAATATCATCCCTACTAGATATCGAGTTGAGATACTCTGCTACTTTTTGTAACCGAGGAGTTACTTTAATCAAATTACCTTGTTGATCACTAATGCCACTTTTAATTTGAAATAATGTCAAGTAACTATTAATGCTGTAATCGTTTCCCAATATAACTGCTAAAAAAGGCATTTTTTCCTTTGCAAGATGTAAAAGTTGACAAAGATTTTGTAAATTATAACTAACAACATTATTCAAGTTGGATACATTCATGAAATTTGACATTGAAATAACTCCTTGTGCAACATCAACTATGTAAAGATCAGAGTCAGATGATACAACAGGGCAATTTAAATAATTTGCAAAAACTGCTATCAACATGTCTGCTTCACTAATATATAAAAAAAAATGTATAAATGAAACTTATCAATGGTTGATAGTATAACACAGTCAAACATTACAAAATAAAACTACAGTCCAACACAACACTGTGAAACATAACACAGTCAAACATTACAAAGTAAAACAACATTCTAATACAAAACCATGAAGCATAACACCATGAAATATAACAAATTAAAATATAAAACTGTCAAACATGATAAACTCAAACATAAAACAGTCAAAAAGGCATTGAAATTACGCACAAACAAAGTCCATACAAACTTAAGTAACAGCGAAAATCACATAACTATTTTAAAACTTACTTGGGTGCTACTACAAAATGAATGCACATCTCTTGCATAACCTCAATAAAAACTTGTTTTGAAAATAAAGGTATAGGAAGATTTTTATGACTTTTATTTGATTGGTTAATATTCCCCAAAGCTTTGATTCGTTGTTTGTTTCTTTCACATGTAGTACAGGTTTTTAATGAAACATTAATGCAGCCATCTAACACCACTAACGGCATTACATTAATCAAATGCAATTCTTTAAAAAAATGTTCAAAAACTCTGCTCATTTCATTGTATTCTCCGCCGTAACGACTAGATACTGAGTTTAGAAGACAGTACAACAAGGCATCTCCATCAACAACAACTTTACTTCCTCTCAAATCCAATATTTCTGTGAATAAAGAAGCATGATGTAATTCAAAGTAAGATGTTAATTGTTTTATGCCCATTGATTCTTTTGTTTGCTTTATCTCTTCCTTTTTTTCTATTTTTTTATATCCCCATAATAAATATACTTTTTAAAACTCTAAATGACAATTAAATCTTTTGTTAATCTGTTTAATCACTATTGTTTCCAATTTGATTTTTAGAAATGAATAATTTTTTTTTGAAATATCAATGATTGTATACATACATGTGCTTTTTAAAAATACAATGTACATCTGCGGCCATTGGTCAATTTATGATAAGTGTAAATACAACATATCGGAGGAAAAGAGTTTGAAAATTTGATTTGTTGCAATAAATCGGGAAAAATAAGGTGTATAAGGAGGTAGTTTACTATAGCAATCATAGTTTGACCAAATGAAAGATCTATAATATAACAAAATTGCATACATATCTTAAAATGACCAATTTTGCACTTATCATAAATTGACCACAGATATATTCATGTAGTATATAGTGTACCATAGAGTATACTGTAAAAGTATACACACACAGGTTTTGACAAGAAATAATGTAAAACTTGATGTTTACAGGAAAAGAGAAATAGTGACCACTTCAGTATTTTGTCAACCTTGTAATAATTGCTTGGTGCTTTCCAGTGTTGAAAACAGCAGTATCAAAGCAAATATTAATAAAGGCCTAAATTAACTAAAATTAAACACTGCAACTAATGAAGAAACTAATTTATAATTAAATTATAAATTGAAATGTTTTTCTCCAGTGAGTTAATTAGAGAAATGCCTCACAAGATTGCAGCTTTTTGTATTTTATTAGAAAAGCTTCAACTTCCTTTCCAAAATTTATAATGATTCATTACATAAATAAATTAGGTTAGTTCTCAGGCTTAAGTTACAACCTTTTTTGCAATAAATTTTAAGCAGCATTAAGATTTTTTGCATAAACTTTTATTTGACATCAACAAGACAATATAATATTTTAGTATTTATTTCATTATTAAATGTTATTTAAATTTTTTTATCAAAACATAAAAATGAGAGTGTGTAGAGAGCAACTCCTGAATTTAAAGATTTTAATCTGAATTTAACACAATCTAATCCTGGGATTCTAAAAAGTAGAACTTTCAGATTCACAATCCTTTGAGAATTACTGACAAAATTTTTGCTACTGTTTATTAGAAAATCAAATTTTGCAGGCCTTAAACTTTTTTAATTTGTAAAATTTTGCAATCTGTGACTTATATAGGCCTAATAATGAAAGACAGTATGTGATGCTGTGCAGACAGATGTAATTAAATTTTGATAAATCACAATTTTTAGAGTTATTAAAGGGATCAATTTTTAAAATTAAAACTTGCAAGAGAGTGCTCTGCCAATTAATAATTATTATCCAAACACTTCAGAAGATCTGAAATCTTCCGAATTTAAAAATTTTAAATACTTTTGGAATATTTAAGAAATTTTAAAAACTAAAAAAAAATATATTTAAAAAACTTAACTTGATATAGCATAATTTAAATAAATATATAAATAATCTAAAAGTTTGAACAAAGGAAGCAAAAGTATATTTCAAGCAATGAATGTCAAAATTTTGAAAATAGTCAAGTCATTTGTAACAAAAACATTGTTGTTTGACCTTTAGAACGCTTTTAAAGAACAAAAAGATCAATTACTTAACATGAGAATTTTTATAATCATAATCAGAAAGATGTGAAGCTTAAACATCTCCATAGAATTCCTTACACTTAGCTTATATGACAGTTCTTGTCATAAAAGTTTAACTCCATGACAATAAATGAGACATGGACTAAATCTCTATGCATAGACATTCATTTTTATATACATTCCAAAAACTGTAATAAACCTAAAAATGGCTCCAAAAAGCAATTCTAAAACATATTAATAATTTTTTTTACATAAAATCACCTAAAAACATTTTAAAATTGACATTAAGTCAATATACTAAAGAATATAAGATAGTTAAGAAACATATACTAAAAAAAACAAACAATATGGTATAATAAATATGTTATTTTAAAAAACACAAGAAAAATTACTTTTTTACAAAAGAGAAGATTGACACAATTTTAACAAATTTTGATTAAATTTTAATTAAGTCATTCTTAAATTAAATTCTCAATTAAGAATGTTACATATAACACTTTAAACAAAAAAAAATTCTGATAAAAGAAACATACATAACATTAAACTTAATCTCAAGCTTGAATGATCTCTTGCTCAGTATGCGTTTCTTCTGAAACATCCATGTACTGTTCCATTTCCAATAAGTCTTCTAGAGCATGCACTATAAAAAAAATTTTTTGTACCAAACAATAACAACAACAACAACAACAACAATTATATTCAATATAGAATAATGACTTATTTTAATTTTGTATAATTATGTACATTAAAGTAAGTACAGGGTGACCAGAAAATTAACTTTAAATTAAGCTAAGAAGCTTATAAACTAAGCTTTTTTTTTTCAGATGTTAAGGTACTCCAAGAAAACCTATTGGTCGTTATCACAGAGTACAGAGTGGAAACTATTGGTCGTTATCACAGAGTACAAAGCGGAAACTATTGGTCGTTATCACAGAGCGGAAACTATTAGTCGTTATCACAGAGTACAGAGCGGAAACTATTGGTCGTTATAACAGAGTACAGAGCGGAAACTATTGGTTGTTATCACAGAGTACAGAGCGGAAGAGCATTTAACCAAGAAGTTCACATCTCCTTCACCTATGTTATTTATTGGACAAAAGCTGGGGTTGAACTATGAACCTCTTGGTCCTGAACCAGAACTCTAAAAACTGTGCCATGGCTGCTTAGAATTCTGTAGCGTGTACTTAGCAGCACTATTCTGTATAATCTCTATAGGTCTGAAAATTATCAATTTTCAGTTTCTGAGATGATTAGAAGTAATATATTTTATTTTTAAGTATATAGAAATATATTATTTAAGTATATAAATATTTCAAGTATATATTGCATAACAACTTCTCATAGAAAAATAACAGAGATAAATTCATTTGTTCTCCTTTACTTTGTAAAGAGCACATAGACACCCACCTTTAAAATCCAGTTAAGCATAAACACCCTGACTCTTTCATTCTGTTTTCTCACCCCTTTTAGTGTCTGTGTACACAGCCAAAAAATTAAAAATTAAAAAAAATCGTGGAATAGTAGATAGATTACTAACTTTAAAAGAACTAAACTAAACTAAGAACTAATTAAATAGTTGTATGCTTTAAGAAGTAACAGCTTCTGATTTTGAACAATTAAAATTCTCAGGAACATTATGCTCTAATAGTTGGTTCAATATCATTATTCCCTAAAGCAAGCATTACTAACTGAGGAGTTAAATACCAGGAATGCTTTTCAAAGCTTTAAAGTGAAGCCTGCTGCACTTTAAAGACTTTTAGAAAGCAAGATACAAAACAGATAAGTGCTCGCTTTCTTCAAACTTTTCTTGATTAGTCATTAGTTTTTATTATAAATGTTTTGAACCATTTTAAGGGTCACAATATATATATTGCATATGAAAGAAAATTTGCCTTGTGACATTAATCTGGTTGATGCATTTCATAAAAGTTTGAAAAATCTGCCTTCACAAATTATTTCATATATTAATTTCTCAGAAAGTTCTAAAGTTTGGAGGCTCTGGAGCAAAAATCAAAGATTTTTTTGGCATTATCATAGAAAATAGAACCAACCTCAAACCTTTGGGTCATCTAATGTAACTATATCAATGTGTAAAAATTGTATTCTTTATTATATGTTACAAGTTATTTAAACTTTTTATCAAAAACACCTTGGTGATATGTTCTCCCTTATGGAGGATGATTGGGGAGAGTGAAAGATTAGGGAGTAGTGAAAAATTAGGTAATAGTGAAAAATTAGGGAGTAGTGAAATGTTAGGGAGTAGTGAAAGATTAAATAATAGTGAAAAATTAGGGAGTAATGAAATGTTAGGAAGTAGTAAAATGTTAGGGAGTAGTGAAAGATTAGGTAATAGTTAAAAATTAGGGAGTAGTAAAATGTTAGGGAGTAGTGAAATGTTAGGAAGTAGTGAAAGATTAAACTATAGGTGTTATGCGGTAGTGGTGTAGTGGTAAGAGCGCTTGCTTTGTAAGCGAGAGGTTCAGAGTTCGACTCCCACCACGTCCCTGGAAGTACCGCGCTCAACTTAATTTCTCCGCGCCTTGCTTGTCAAGGTTCGTGTTTCGGAGTTAAAGAGTTGAGAGAGGGTTGTACCACGATTTAAAAAAAAAAAAAAAAAATGAGTAGCCTCCTCAACAGTAGTGACCCCCTCGGGCCTTGGGGAGGTGAATAGTTGAAAAAAAAAAAAAAAAAAAGTTCAAGTTTGTTGAACATATTGTCCAAAAAAGTACGCTTTTACTAATGTTAATGTTTTAAGTTGCAACTTTTACTAACAATGAACTGATAGTACTTGACACTGATAGTACCTGACACAGATATTATCTGTTACTGATAGTACCTGATACTGATAGTACCTGATACTGATAGTACCTGATACTGATAGTACCTGATACTGATAGTACCTGATACTGATAGTACCTGACACTGATGGTATCTAACACAGATAGTACCTGATATTGATAGTACCTGACACTGATAGTAACTGATACTAGTTGTACCTGAAATTCATTGTACCTGACACTGATAGTATCTGATTCTGATAGTACCTGATACTGATAGTAGTAAAATAATACTAAAATCACTTGATAATAATAATGAACTGATAGTAACTGATACTAATGATCAACTGAGATCACCTGGTACTATATTCTATTAGTAAAATAATATTATCATCACAGTTTTACAATTCAACATGAATTCAAAATTGAATACTGAAGTTTATTCTAAAAAATATTTGATTCTGAATATAACAGTGTATACTGCAGAGTTTCTTAATACTCAAAAATTTTAAATCAATAACTTTTAACCATCCAAGAAAAATAAAATAATCTGATCTATAATTCACATAGGATAAGTATTTGAGCCTAATTTTTTTTAAATTGATATTTTGGGTACCCGAGTGTATATTCACCAACTGAATTATTTAGGGATAACCACAGTGTGTGCATACATCATCTAAAGATTTTGGTTTTGGCAGGCAGACTTTATTTAAAAGGAAAATTAAAGCATGCAAAATAGATTAGCTTTGTATAGATCTAAATATCTTGTAGCTGGCATAAAACAAGATTAGAGCAAGTTTCAAACATAAAAAGCCATACATACCTTCATTTTCGCTAACAGTAGGCATTCTTCTAAACAAACTAATAGCACTACCAAGCAAGTAAATATAAGTCCACTCAACACTGGATTGCTTATCAATAATTTTTTTGTCATTTGTACACAAGACGCAAAGTAAAGACAGACCTTGCCGAAAAGCTATTAACTGATTTCTTAAAAAAAAACAAAAAGCAAGTTTAGTTTTTTATTACACTGATATTTTTATTAGAGAAAAGTGAAAACAAACTCACTTGACTGTGTCTGTAAGTTCTGCATCGTTTGTTGAGAAAGCTTCTCTTTGAAGAGTCTTCAGATTGTTAGCAAGAAATATTACAATATTTTCAACAACCAATAAAACAAGAAATAAATTACAAATTAGAAAAATGAAGAATACTTTTCATAAAACATACAGAACCTTAAATATTAAAGTCCAAACAAATGTGTAACAAAAACATTAATCTTAAATAAATAAGCTAAAAGTATGACCTGCTTGTTTTTATTTTGTACATCAAAATATTATACACATTTAAGAGATTAACAAAGAATACAATAAACCTTTCACACTACTTCCTAATCTTTCACTACTTCCTAATCTTTCAATACTCCCTAATCTTTCACTACTCCCTAACATTTCACTACTTCCTAACATTTCACTACTCCCTAACATTTCACTACTCCCTAATTTTTCACTATTACCTAATCTTTCACTACTCCCTAACATTTCACTACTCCCTAACATTTCACTACTCCCTAATTTTTCACTATTACCTAATCTTTCACTACTCCCTAACATTTCACTACTCCCTAACATTTCACTACTCCCTAATCTTTCACTACTCCCCAATCTTTCACTGCCGCTAACATTTCACTAACTATAAATTCAGATAGCTATGCAGGTAATAGCTCATATTATAGGGTTTTAAGAACTCTATAAAAAAAAGATATTTTGCTATTAATATAACTTTTACAAGGTTAAAAACTAGAGTTTTATGCATATTAAAAAAATTCTAGATTAGTATTAGTTTAAAAGTTTAACAACTGATAGATATTCTACTCATTAATTTTTAATATTGAATTTTAGTCCAAGGAGTAAAAATACATCAACTAATAAGTTAAGGGAATTTATGGGTATCTATGTATAAAAAAAATAAAACATGGCAAAATAATCTTTTTTATGTGATTCATTTATTACCACAACACTCAAAAGTGAAAATGTGAGCACAAATGAACACCTAAATCGACAGTAATAATGTTGTAAATAAATTTATAATCAATTTAATCTTAATTCAATAGGTCTTGGGATGACGTTTTTAAAATGCAAATTAAACTAATATTCTCTTTTTTTTTTAATAAAAAATTTTTTATACTGGAATCTGGTTTCTACAGTCTTATCTTATATACTTACCATTATTTTTAAAAATTAACAGAAATTAAATTCTAAAACAACTTGAAAGAACAAATAACTCACCGCATTTTTTTTTTTTTTTGCAAAAACAAAAATATAAAACTTACTTCAATGGCACATTGGCAATCAATCTCAAGCAATGTATCAAGCGCTTTTGTTTGATTTGTTGATATCAAGGAAGACAGACATTGTACTAACTAAATAAATTTTTGTCAAATTTAATTTGGACCTCTCCTTTAATATTAAGGTTTTATTAAAAGGATATATTCTCCTCATTAATAAAATCCTGATTAATAAGTTGCTATTAGATTATTAAAAGAAGTCTGATTACCATAATGAAATAATAAACACATAAACGCATATAAAAATTGATGCAAAAAAAAAAAAAAAGGAATTAAAACATTAAACCCACAAATGATTGTTAAAAATTAAAAAAACTCTACCTCATTAAATACATCATATGATAAAGAACAATTCATATCTTTTACAATAGATTGACTGATGAATAACAAAGGACAGTTGTCTAAATAGAGGACAGTTATTTTAAAATTTAATATTTTAAAATAACTGATCTTAATTTTCAAAATTATTTAAATTTCTGGGTATTTAGACAAGTTACTTAAAACACAGTAGTTTTTTTAATAAAAATTTAGTTTTAACTTAAGTACAATCTACCTGTGAAGGACATGTGAAAGACATGTGAAAAGACACGTGAAAGACATGTGAATGGATATAATACATACCGCCTATACAACTATATATTTTAAACCAATATATGTATATATATATGTATATATGTATATATATATATATACATATTTATATATACATATATATATATATATATATATATATATATATATATATATATATATATATATATATATATATATATATATATATATATATATATATATATATATATATATATATATATATATGTATATATATATATGTATATATATATATGTATATATATATATATGTATATATATGTATATATGTATATATATGTATATATATATATATATAAATATAAATATATATATATATGTATATATATATACATATATATATATATATATATATATATATATATATATATATATATATATATATATATACATATACATAAGTAGTTTTAACTATATTCTGCAAAAAAAAGTAATTAATGTTTTAAATAACAGAGCAATAATAAATTTATATATAAAAATAATTTTAAATGTATTAAATGTATGTAATATTTATATATGGATGTATGTATATAAACTTTTTATTTACTTTTATGTGTATGGCGTTTAAAAAATTACCTGATTTAGTGCAAATGAGATTGTATATATCATTGCAAGTAAGACAATTTTGAAACAGATATAAAACTGAAGAACATTTAGCAAGAGTTGGTTTTTGTAAAAACTTTGCTAGAAGTTGTTCTTTTATTAAATACTCGACCAATCTAAATAAAAAAAGTATAAGAAATATAAAACTAAACTTTTCTTTTCTTTACATTTTTTAATTTTTAACTGAGTATTTTTTTCTTTTATGGGAAGATAATTCTATTTTTCAATAAATTTTTTCAAAGTAAAAAAAATATATATATAAAAAATAATTAAAAAAAAATATATAAAATAAATAATATTTCTATGAAAAAACAAATTAAAATAATAAAAAATAACAATTTTTATAAATATAATATATATATTTTTAACAATTCATTTTCAATATGTCTGCGTTGGTAACTCATATACAAACAAAGTTCTTGTAAAGAGCAAAATACCTCAAGGAATTGTTTTGGGACCCATCTTATTTTTAGTTTTTACAATGATGGAAACAACATACATCTCATCAAAATCTTAAAATTTTTTTCAGAATGTCAAAAGTTAGGCAACTTAATATAACAACTTTAAAATGTTTTTATTTTAGCTATGGAAACAGTTCTTTGCCAATAAATTGAACATTAGTACACCTATTGAATCTATTAATTTAATTCAAGATATTGGTATAATCGTATCTTCATTGTTTTTTCATTGCAACATTGCTTACTTTTAAAATACTTACTTTTAAAATACTTACTTTTAAAATACTAATAAACTCCTACTTACTTTTAAAATACTTCATCAGTAAACCAGTAATTTTAAAATCCTTCAAAGCTTCAAAACATAGATCATATTTTAAAAATCCGAAAAATTGTTTGGGTAAAATATCCGGAATATATTTTCCTCTTAAATTTGCTTTTAGCTGATTTGTTTTAAATTTTTTATACAAACCTATCTTAATTTTTTCATAAGTGATGAGTGAAAATGATTAAAAAACAAATATATTACAAAAATATATATCTAAACTTGTATGTATGGAAAATGTTTTGGATATCCCGAAAAATTAAAAGTGTAGAAAATAATCTGGAAAAAAAGATGATAGGAAATATCCGGAAAAAGATATGATGTAAAGATAGGCTGAATATAAACTTTATAGGTTTTGATCCCTGGATCAAAACTTATAAAGTTTATATCCAGCCTATCATAGAATCATGTACTTCTGTGTGGAATCTCCCACCTTTTAAAAGATATGTCTGTTAAAAAAGGTTCAGAAATCCTTGTCGATGTCGCAATCCTTATAAAGATTATTCTTCAAGACTTCATTTGAATGGTGTAGAATAAAATTTGATCTTTTAATGACCTATAAAATTATACACATCCTTATCGATCTACCTTTTTCTGAGTTTTACATTTGCTCCTTCTTACTATCCTACAAAAATCTCATGCCAAAAAACTTTATTCCCATATTAAATGTAAAAATAGTACACAAAGATTTTTCTACTGTAAAATAATTATCAAGATATGGAATTCTCCAACTGATTATATTGTTTACTTGTCTTTGTTCAAATCAAATTTAAAAAAGTATCAAATTTAAAAAAGTACAACATTCATCACCATTGCACACTATTTTAACTTGTTGTTTTTTTTGGTGTTACATAAGAGTACACCAAACTAATCTGAGAAAATTAACACCAGAAAATAATCTGAGAAAAATAACACCAGAAAAATTCGTGAGGCTATTGAAATACAACGTGTACAATGTTCAAAACCTAAAGAAAACGTTTAAAATCGTGACAATGGCAATTTGGTGATGACTCACCATTGAAAACCATTTTTTGTAAAATGAAAAAATGTTGAAATCTGACGTTGCAATGACTTCATTTGTTTACATTTATTATAATTTTTTAAATGGTTTTTTTAACGGTTTTATTAGTTTGATAATGGCTCTTACTATATGAGCCAAAATATCACTTATAGAGAAAAGAAATAAATAGTATAATACCGTATATGATGTTTCAATGTTTATAATTACACATACTATTAAAGATGTCACTTAAAGTATGTATATATATATATATATATATATATATATATATATATATATATATATATATATATATATATATATATATATATATATATATATATATATATATATATATACATTATATATATTATATATATAAAATATATATATATATATATAAAATATGTATATATATACAGGGCCTATTCTAGGAAAAAAAATTTGGGCGGCAGTACCCCTCCTTCCCAGAGATGTATGTATGTATGCATGTATGTATGTATGTATGTATGTATGTATGTATGTATGTATGTATGTATGTATGTATATATGTATGTATGTATGTATATAAACTTTGCAACAGATTGAAATATAACCATAATTTAAAAAAGTGGTAATCTAGCTTTGAAAAAATTAATGTTAAAGATTGCATTGTAATTATTTTTAATAAAAAATTTTTTTTATTATAAACCATTTATAATTATAAAATATTAATCAACTTGAAAATATGAAAAAAAATTTAAAAACTTACATGTCACTATTATGATATCCCATGGTCAATTTTGTGTAAAACAATATAATCATTTCAAATAAATCAGCAAAATGGACCTAAGAATAAAATAAACTTCTATAAAAATAATTCCTTAATAAAACCAAGTTGTATTATAGTGTAAAAAAATGACTTTAATGGAAGTGTGAAGATTGTTAGTGATATTACATTATGGCAATTAATCAGATTGAAAAAAAAACAATTTTAAGAGCAAACAGTTCTTCTCAAATCTAGAAATAGACTTTTAACTAATTAGCTACTCTTATATTTTCATATGTTTAATATTTAATAAAGAATAATATTCAGGTTTCTATTACTAAAAGCTTAAGCGTTACAATCTCCTGGATTTTATTAAAAGTGGCCTTCAAACCCTGTTAGCCTTAAAACCCTGTAGAATACCTTAAACATACCTGATCTAGATTATTAACTTCTTGCAAAATTTTCCATATTCTAAGTGCTTTACTTTGATTGTTAGAGAAAAAACTGCTATGCTGCTGATCATTGATAGTTGATGCTTCCATAGACTGTAAAGAATCTTTATAAATGAAAATTGATTTAACAAAATATAAGACTGTATTGTATATGTAAAAACAATCAAATAAGCAAACCTCGACTAACACCATACATTGATCATCATTTTCATATTTGTGAAGATATACCTTATCTCCAAATGCAGATTTCTAAACAATTGTCAATTTAATTTAATTTTTGTATACATACATACATACATACATACATACATACATACATACATACATACATACATACATACATACGTGTATATATATATATATAAATATATGTGTGTATACACATTGATATGTATATATATTTATGTACATATATACATGCATATATATATGATCATATGTATATATATATATATATATATATATATATATATATATATATATATATATATATATATAAGAAATATAATATGGTTCAACCTCCTGTATATATATATATATATATATATATATATATATATATATATATATATATATATATATATATATATATATATATATATATATATATATATATATATATATATATATATATATATATATATATATAAGAAATACAATATGGTTCAACCCCCCGTATATATATATATATATAAGAAATATAATATGGTTCAACCCTCCGTATAGTAAAAGCGTTTCTACCAATGTCGGACATCTTGCTAAATTTAATCGACAAACATTTTCCAACATCCCACCCCCTAAGTAAACTATTCAATCGAAACACCATCAAAGTGAGTTACAGCTGCACCAAAAACATCGAAAGAATTATAAAAAGCCACAACAAGAAAATCAGTTCAAAAAGACCAAAAGAATACCCACCCTGCAATTGCATAAATAAAGAAAACTGACCTATAATAGGAAAATGTAGAGTTTCAAATGTTATTTATAAATGTATAGTATCCCCCCCTAACACTCCAGAAAAAGTATGTATTGGCCTAGCAGAAGGTGAATGGAAGAAAAGATCGGCTAACCACAAACACTCATTCACAAACAAAAAGATGAAAAATTCAACCAACCTTTCAAAGTATATATGGCAGATAAAAGAAAACTTAAAAATAACACCCAAATTAACCTGGTCAATAATTAAACAAGTCCCCGCCTACAGCAACTAACAAAAAAATGCTTGCTTTGCCTTCATGAAAAACTTTGCATAATATCATACTAAGGTACACAAGAATTATTAAATAAAAAAACAGAAATAATATCTAAGTGCCGTCATGAAAACAAGTTCATGCTTAACAACCACGAGCCCAAAGATTAAAAAACCAAACCAGGCTTGCAAATAGTAACATTTACCAAATGATTTACATTTACCTGATGATTGCTAAACGCATGAAACTTTTAGTAGTAAAAATTATGAAGTGTTTTTTTATTTAATCTCGTCAAAAAATCAATTAAAATTAAACATTTGTCAAGCCAATATTTATGTATATTATATACATATATATAAAATTTAATTTCAGACAAAAGCCAAGTTATCATTGGCTTGACAAATTTTTAAAGAGTCCTATTTTTTATTAATGTTTGTTGTGAATTTTTTTTTTTTTTTTTATTTGCATTCACTCCCAACAAGGCTGCAAGCAACCACTATCAAGTTGGGAGTTACTAGGAAAAAAAAGTACAGAGTTATAGAGCAAGGAAACGATCGACAGAAGACTTGAAAAGTTGAAGGTTGTATGAGTCAGGAAAACATGAAGATGGGAGAGAGTTCCAAAGGATTGAAGTGCGGGGAAAAAAACTAGATGAATAAAAGTTTTTAGAACATGCAGGGACAGATACAGCAAACGAATGAGACTTAGCTGAATGACGAGTAAAACGAGAATGAATTTTAGTTGATGGAACTAGAGATGATAACTCCTTTGAGCAGTGACCATGATAGTATTTGTAAAAAAGAGAAAGAGATGCAACTTTACGACAATGGGAAAGAGGTTCAAGCTTAGCAGATAGTCCAGGTCCAACAACATTTACAATGCGTTTTTGGATCTTGTCAAGAAGAGAAAGTGAATCGTTAGAAGAACCAGCCCAAATATGACAACAGTATTCCATACAGGGACGAATAAGAGATTTGTAGAGGTAGAGAATGGAATCAGAAGTAAGGAAATGGCAAGCACGATAAAGAGAAGCAACCTTAGCAGAAGCTAATTTAGCAATTGATTGTATATATGGTTTCCATGAAAGGTCAGTAGTAATCGATAATCCAAGAAGACGTAAAGAGGACGACTCAGTAAGAGGATTGCCATTCATTAATATAGGAATTTTGACCATATAAGGGTAGTTGTTTGCAGTAAGCAACTGGGTTTTTTTAGAGTTGAAATTCACAAGCCACTGTGAACCCCAATCTATTACTGAAGTGATATCGGATTTAAGATCAGCTGCTTGTTCTAGGCAATCGAAAAGAGAGGACTTTTTGTCAAGACAGGAGTATAAAGTTGAGTCATCAGCAAAAAGAGCTACTTTAGATGAAAGGTTGTCAGGAAGATCGTTTATGTAGATAAGAAGCAAAACAGGGCCCAGGAAGGAACCTTGGGGAACCCCAGAAGTTAATGTAAATAAAGAAGAGTGTTGGCCTTCAAGGATGACTTTAATAAACCGGTTAGAAAGAAATGATTTGATAATCTCAAAAACTTTCCCAGAAACACCATATGAAGCAAGCTTATGGAGAAGACCAACATGCCAAATTTTGTCGAAAGCTTTAGATATGTCGAGAGCAATAGCCCTAGCCTCACCGCCTCCATCTAATGCACAATAAAATCTTTCAATTACAGCAGTTAGCAAGTCGGTTGTAGAGCGAAAGGATCGAAAACCGTATTGATTGTCTGACAGTTGTTTATTTGACTCAAGATGAGATGTGAGGATTTTGTTGATCAAAGACTCAAAGACCTTGCTAATAACAGAAAGAAGACTGATCGGACGATAATTGGAGAGGTCAGAATTTTCTCCAGAGTTTTTGAATAATGGAACCACAGATGCCATTTTCCAACAAGCAGGAAAACAAGACTCAGTCAAACACTTGTTAAATAGTTTAGAGAGAATTGAAGAAAGTTCTGGAGAACAATTCTGCAAGACTGTGACAGGAATGTTGTCTGGACCACAAGCTGTAGACAAGTTTAATTGAGATATGATTTTAGCAACAGAAGCCGGAGTGATTTGGATGTCTAACAATGGGTCAACCTGTTTGACTGGAATGGAAGGAAGAGAATGTCCATAAGATTCAAGAGTGGAATTAGAAGAAAAGTTCTTTGCAAATAGTTCTGCCTTATCCTTGGGAGAGGTAATAAGATCAGTCCCATGAATGAGAGATAGAATGTTAGATCTACCCTTGTTAATAATGCTGTTAAAGATTTTCCAAAAGTCTTTAGAGCCTAACTTCTGCGATAAGATGCGAGATTTAGTGAACTAAGAATAATGGAGTTTAGCATCAGAAAGCACCTTTTTACATCAATATCTTGCAATAATAAATAGCCGTTTGTTCTCAAGAGAGTTGTTCTTTTGAAAAAGATGAAAAAAATGATTACGATTGGATATAGCAGCCGCACAAGAAGGAGAAAACCATGGAGTAGAATGAGGCTTAACTTGAAACCGACGCGAAGGAATAAAAGCTTCCATTCCAGCCTGAATCCAGGAGGTTACGTAGGAGGCGCATTTGTCAGCTGAGAGAGAAAAAACATCAGCCCAAGGACCATCACGAAGAAAATCACGAAAGGAATCCCAGTCAGCTTTAGGGTAGTAGTAGGTGGTGCGATGATAAGGTGAGCCCAAAAAAGAAGTACAAGAAGAAAGATTTATAGAGATCATTGCATGGTCAGAACCACCTAAGGGAGAAAAGGGAGAAACTGAACATAAGCTAGGGTCAGAGACAAGACATAAGTCAAGGATTGAAGGTAAATGATTAGGGTTGTCAGGAAAACGAGTCACAAAGTTAACTATCTGAGTAAGAGATTGAGAAATGCAGAAGTTAATTACAAATTAAAATCATATGTAAAACCTTCTAAACAAATGGTAGTTAAATTTTGATAAAAGCATATAGCTATAAGAGGAATTATTTTATTTGTATATTAATTACCATGAACTTATTATAACATACAGAAACTTTAAAAAATACCCTAAAATATGATTATTTTATTTAAAGATAAATTTAATCTACTTTATTTTCCCAGCAACACAATTCATAAGTAACAACCCTTTGTAAATAAATGCAGGCTTTTTTTAAAGTAATGTTGAACTTGTTCAATGAATACTTTTTTTTCCATCTTTATTATAATATTAATGCCTACTTTTTCAACTCATTGGTTTATTATAAAACAGCAAAAGTTTAGATTCTGAGAGAAATAGCAAAAAGAATGTGAATGGAATAACAGTAATACAAATGGATTACACTGAAAATCATAAATGTTTTTGATAAGATTAAGTTCAAAATGTTTACTTGATTCAACAGCAAGTAAAAGCAGTAACTGAAATACTGTCATGCAATTAACTACATTACTAATAATTAATTATTAGTAATTATACTAAACATGATAAAGAAACATCATAAATATCTCTTGATAAATTAATTCAAAGCTTATTCCTTTGAACAAATACTTCAAAAATTAAACAGCAAAAACAAAAAATAAAAGAACAAAATTGATACGAAATGATGTTATTAAGTTTTTTTTATAGTATGCATTTTTTCATTGTATAGAATAATTGATATAAAATATGATTTTAGACAAAAATTTTATAATTCATTATTAATTTTTTAGAACACTATAACTAATTCCAAAATTGGATATGCTGCAAAACAAATAACAGAACAAATATTAAGTTATTGTAAATATTGCATAAATACATATTTTTTTCAAAACAAATATTTAAATGCTTGTTTAGATTATTAACAAGTTATGTCTAGTAATTGACTGGGACCCTGGCCCCAGCTTAAAATGAGACTTTTTGCAAACCTGGCCCTGACCCTGGCAAAATTATAAGATATAGCAGGGGTTTATAGCCGAGGCTAGAAAAAAAATTTATAATACTTAATATATTATAATTTCAATTTTAAACTTACTATTTATTAAATACTGGCATACATTTATATATTTTTAAACTCTAATTTACTTCCAACAAGATTGCAAGCAACCACTATTAAGTTATGAATTACTTTAAAATAAATA